TAGATTTATTAATTAAATAAAAATTGAATTTGATAAATTAATTAATGTTGAATGGAAAAAATAATATTTATTTAAATTATTTTTCTATTTAGTGCCAATGAAATTTTGTAACACTTGTGATGATGTTATGTTATAATCTTTACTTACTTACTTACTTACTAAATGAAAATATGATTATAACATGAGATGCTGGAAAGGGATGATAGGAGTTCAGGATCAGAGTTCAGGAACACAGTTTTTAGTGTTGTGAAGTAATATGATACAATATGATTTTTTAAAGGGGGACCCCCAACCCATAACTGAGACGACCTCACAGCAAGTAGACCAAAAGTGGCTCTTGCTTGTGAAAGGTGCATCAACTATATAGTACAATAAAAATATCTAAAAAATTTAACATTGAACAACTCTAGAAAACCTCAAAGCTCGTCTTCTGAGATGAGGTTGAAGGAATCCGTCTTGCAGTTCAAGATGCTGGGCAGTGGCGTAACATTGCCTGTTGGCGCCCCCCTGCCGAAAAAAGCGCCCCCGGTTGGCGCCCTCCTCCCCCTTTGTTGCCCCTCCCTAAATTGAACAAATTATGTGATTTTAAAGAATACGGTACCCGGTAATAATCCTAAAAAAGAGTGTGTATCTAGAGACAAAACGCGCAGTTTTTTGCTAGTACTTTATTAAGTTTTACGAAATTGTCCCCACATTCAAACGACGATTCGGCCCCCCTAAGACGGCGCCCCCTGCACAGCGGGGTCATCAGGGCCTTGCGTTACGCCATCATGATGCATGGCCGTTGTTCTTCCTCTGTTCCTCCCCCTCATGTAATGGTGTACATTCTTAACAGATCAAATCTAATCGTGTTCTGAATATGGATTTTTGACCTTGGCTTTTGGCTTCTTTTTTTGTACAGCTATCGGATCTCATAGACACGATCTAACGAACTCAGTGGCAAGCATACCTCCGAGGTCAATATGTTTAACAAGTATGCACTGAAGGGTATCTTAGAAATTCTTCTTGAACTTTTAATAGGTACCACCCCTTCTCATTTAACCCATCAATTAAGTTTCCTATCATTCGCATAGTCAAACGAGGAGATCGCATAGATCCAATGGATGGGGGGGGGGGGGGGGGGGGGGGGGGGGTGTGGGGGTGCAACCATAATAGAAGTAATTACAGTAAATCCCCCGTATAAAATCGAAAATACCTACATATCTCACATGCATCAACAACCTTTCTTCACCGTGTCAAGAGCCTCCTCAGAGGGTTAGCACACTTCTGTTCTCCGAACACAAATCCATTCTTACTCAGCTCACTTTGGCATAGACGAAGTTGCCCCTCAATGAATAGTCAACTCACACCAGTATCTACGAGGAAGCTCCTTTCGCTACAAGATCACAGAAGAGGGTTTAGCCAACTTTTCACAAAATACATTTGAACAGACCTGAGTTCATTCAAAGATCTCCTTCCAACAGACCAAAGATGTCGAATCCACTCCAAAAACCCATGAGGCAGTTGAAGCGCTGAATAGGCATATTACAAACGCATAAACGATGTCGCTAATAAAGAGTTCGATATCTCTAAACAACTAAGAATCCAAACCAAGTTTCGCCTCAGTTTGAAACGCAAGTGTCACACTGCACGCCGCCTTTTTCAAACGGTCCAATAATTGTCACACTAATCCCTGATAACCATAGAAACAAACACGGCATGCGTCCAACTCTAGAGGATAATCTAAAGATTGTCAATACAGAAAAGGGAGACTTCTTCTCAATAGCCCTTAACAAGAAAATTAAAAACGGTAAAACTATATCCTGGAGAAGATTATCAAGAAGCTTTAAAGAACTACCAGAAGGAAGAGTCCAAAATGAAACGAGCAACTCAACTCATTTTCCATCAGTTCTACTCTAAGTATATTCTGACAATCATCCAACCGTAGACACTCACACTAAAAGAGCTCTCCTCAAGAAGCCTACGCCCTAACCGAGGGATCTGGCCCCTAATGATTCACTGAAACAGCCCAATTACATCGGATGAGCTGAACGCTGCGCTACTCGAACTCAAATCGGCAAAGCATCTTCTTTTGACCACATCAGCAACGAAATGCTAGGGGTCTGAGCATGAATATAGGTGGCTCCTCCTCAAACTCTCAATTTTGTGCCTGGAGACCATCTACCTCTGAGCAAAAGTGTGATCACACTCACTTCACAAAAAGGGTGGCATACAGGAACCCCTGACAAACTATAGAGGCAATAGCAGTCAGTCCTGTAGCTGTATCGGAAAACTGCTCTCTTACGATGACGCTATCTCGGCTTCGTTTAATCACCGTCCAAATCTCACATCCTGATCCACCCTACCAAGCAGCTTACCAAAGGACTCAAATGCAATGACCAAATATTTATACGGCTGATGTCCACCATAGAAAAATACAAGAAAGTCAAATAAAATAAATGCAGTGTTCATTGCTCTTCGCAAAGCTTTCGATCTAAGTCTGCTGACAAGCTTCTCATGTTCAAGACTAGCCTGCAAGGTGTCAATGGTGGCTACTAACGACATCATCCAAGACATGGACGAGCAATCAGAGGTCAAACAAGATGAATGGTAAAATCAGTGAACACAAGTCCATGAAAGGAACTGAACAAGGACACCCACTTAGGCCCTGAGTTTTTCAAAGTTTACTTTAAAAAGCTTTCTGACCTCCATAACGAAGCTATCTGCAAACTGTCCGACACTCCCGCGCTGGAACTTTCAGTGACTCACCTAGCGTGTGGGCTGATGATCAAGTAATCCTCGGGGCCTAGATCCTGATACCCTCTCCAAAGTTGCTTACGATTATTGGGGACTACTGTAACAATGGGGTCTGGAATCAATATCTCCAAAATGCCAAATTCAATGGTCTTCATGGCAAAGGACCAGAAAAAACATTCCAAATTGGCGTCCTTCCATTACGAAAGAGATATCGAATGGTCTCCAGCACTGCTATCTTGGATCATCATAACAGCAACAGGTAAATTTCGGCAAGCAACTGACTCTCTATAACCGTAAAGGACTTGATCTTACTTCATCTGAGAGCACTATAGACCGGAGATTCGTTATGCATCCTGCTTAACAAATTAATTACCACCCTTGTTAAGCCAATTCTACTTTAACGGCTGTCAAGTGTGGGCCCCGGATTCTACCCACCGTCAAAAAGGTCCTCATCTAGCTACAGCAAATTTTCACAATTAGATCATGCGTCTCTCACAACGCTAAACAGCAACTTGAAACAAGTGCATCTACGCACCTAAAATACCTTTCTTGGAAATAAACAGAGGGCAGTCAATGCTACAGCTGGGAGAAACTGGGCTCATACCCAATCATTATTGAAATGTGAAACAGAGTACTAAATATTTTCAAAAAGTTATGAGCCGCCCCTCTACACAACTAGTCAAAGCTGCAATGACTGAGCAGATTAACCTCAAATTGGTCATGGGTTTGTAGCATCGACTCAATCATCAAATCATTCAACAACATCGACCTTCTTGAAAGGAATTCCTCGACCTGTTGAACGCACCTCACACGCAAGAACTCTGCAGCACGAAATTAATCACGAGAAAACCTAGAAAAAACAGTCCGCGATTCCTGGGGTTCTCTTGTGAAAAGATTCTAAAAGCTATCATTCTACAGTGAATCAAAACAGAATTGCTGGGAGCCTATCTAACCTATGCTAGTCTTTTCAGGACAGAAGGTCAACCATCACAGATTCGGGTATCCAGTTCTCAACAACCTCGAATTGAAAGGGGGGAGATATGACAAAACTCCAATTGATGGAAAGGACCAGCAACTATTGGCGAGCTTAATCACCAACCACTATTCATTCGAGGGAAGAGATCATATGCACCATTTTCTGCCCCCTATGGAAAGGTCCTAGGACAAATTTCAAAATCTCAGTGAAACCTACTCAACATGTTGTAATGGTAAGCTTCAATCTTGCTCCACGTTCATGTCGCATCTGATTGCAGGATACTCCCACTGATGAGGAGACGTAAGTTTGATCAATCTCTCAACCACACCATTAACCAGATCTCAGACAAACCTCACATCAAAGACGTCAGAAAGCAGACAATTAAGTTTTCCTTTTTCTTGCATTTTTCTTTTTTTTGTAATCTCTCTCTTTTTCCTGACGAGTAAAGACGGGACCGCGGGCTCCCGTCTTAAGAATAAGAATCTATTATGTATTTCATATGTGTACATTATTTATTTCCTAGCTTCATTTCAGATTTATTTTCAGAAGTGGAAACCATTGGAAACCGTAATCAGACCCGATACTGCAACTTGTAAAATGAATCTCCTGTTTGCTCTGGATTCAAATGAAAATGACAATTTTGAATAAAGGGTTTATTACTCACTGACCTTTGTTTCGTGTGATAGAATTAAAGTCAGTCTAACAACTGACTGTGAATACTATTAACGTTATTTGTAATGAACTTGAAGCCTAAATATTGTTTCAAGAGGGTATTATTGACGTATTCTATTGCGCTACTAAAACTAGAAATTATCGTCGCAACATCTCTTTCGTTCTAGCTTCACTCATTTTTTGAATTAGGTTAATGTGTACATAAAAATTATATTGTATTGTAGATAAGATATTCGGCTATCGGAGTAGAAGGTCAAAAAGCAAACAAAACTTTTAACAAAATATGATATTCGCAATTGAACTACTAATCTTTGACGCGTATTTGTTTAAAAAGTTGGTAATGTGCGGAGTCTTTTAATCATATTAACTATAAAATTCTACCAATTTTTATGAATCTTTTACAGTAATGTTTGCCAAATAATTTGCAATCACATTGTATCATTATTAATAACTCAAATAAAAAGTTGTTATTTTCATTCGGCTACAAAACGTTTCCTATCAAAATAAGCAATAAAACGTCCAAAGGAGGTCCCATCTGCGCGTGCCGGGGTGATTATTCCTGGACCAAAAATCTAAATTTTCTTTATATGTTTGATATGATAATAAAAACACGGAGTTATTTTCAAATACTTTTTATTGAAACTAGCTAAAAATAAAACATAAGAGAAGAATAAACAGGGCTTCTAAAGTTTAACGTTAAAATAAATGGAATCAAAATGGATGAGAATTGTGAGTAGCGTATCCGACGTGTTCAAAAATCAAATTAACTGTGACTAACATGAAACCAGCAAAAGACCTTGGTTGTAACTTAATAATTCCACCGTTGAGTTTGCTGATTGTACCATTTCGTGGACTCATTATTGAAGCTAACAAGTGCTATCATGACGATTATAAAATTGTAAAGTCCCACCGTCTTGTTCATGTTGATATATCATGTTTTTTAAAGTAATAAAAAGCGTGATAGCATAGGTGAATCTCACATTTAATTTTAGCCCTCTTTGTTCTTAACTTTAAGGAATTAAAGACTTTTATCGAAAATTTAAGAATTTTCATTTAACATAAAGCCGAAAACTTAATAGAATAGTTATCGATAACTGCAAAAATAAGAAAATATCCATCAAAAGTAATTATAAATATATATCATACTGAAAATATCGCATTCATATCTACATATCATTATCTGAGGTGATTCATATTATTACTACAGTGCAATTAGTATCTACAAAAGTCGTTAAAAACTACAGCTAACTGTAGGCGAGAAATGAAACTGCAAATCCCAAAGTTCAAAGTCGGAGTGTCGATAACTGTCACAACTTTATTGGTGGCGCGTTTGAACAGAACGTCAAGTTGCGTCACCAAAATGTCATGAAGATATCTCGTGACGTCACCAAAATGTCATGAAGTTATCTCGTGACGTCATTTCTGGAATGAGTTAGAAGTTTTCGTAGCTTTCGTCTTCGATTGTAGTTCTGAACTTACTGGCCATAATCAGAATGGCGATCTGTAGTGAGAAATTTGTCAGCAAGAATTGTATAAAGAATTACTGGAAATGAACAACTTCATTTTGCATTTGAGTTTAAAATTATTTTTGACAATCGTTTGGTTGAAAGAACATTTCATGCGTTAGTAGGGAAAAAGTTTCGACTTTTAAAAATCATACATTTAAAATCAACACTGAAAGATTTCATGCATAATAGCAAGGAATAACAACTTTGACTCTCGAAGATTTCAAGAATAATGGGAAAATAAATAAACTGCGGGGAACCCATCGATTAGAATAGGCAACAGATATATATGTATTTTCCAAAAGTCCATATCATTGGTAATTCTCTTCCGTAAATACAAATGTCTGTGTTGAAGAGATTTTGAACTTTATACATGTTGTTATTTTAGACAGATGCGGTGAACACATGCAGTTCAGTAGATAGAATAAGATGAAAAATAGTTTACAGATTACACGAATTTGAATAAAACTCATGCTGATATAGGATTTTGAGTTGCATAAAAATCTCAACTTAAATTGATCTTGTAACGATAACATTTTGTTAGAAAAATTGAAACTCAAAGAGTTGGAAACAATGAATGGTGATTAGATACAGCATGCTATTTTATGAGGAATAAAACTATATTTGAAGCTAGCGAGCATTGCGGACAGCAGCAACAAAATATAATGTAGAAAATAGTGTCAGCAGAAATTCTAAAATCAAGTAACAGCAGTAATACTAAAATACAGCGAAAAACATGTTTTTTGAAGAAGAATAAACCAGCAGTAATACTTTTTCAAACAAATTTTTTTTCGAATTCAAGTCCCAAAAAATGATAAAATCTATTTATTAGTATAAAGTTATCTAAATACCACCACAAACATAATATATACTCCTAAACTTATTCATGACTTCATATTAGACTCTGTTCATAAGTGTGTGAGAATTAATGAGTTCACAATATCAGCTAAAAGCCTACGACAGCATTTATTTGTCTTTAATTGTTTAGATAATTTTAGTCACAGGAGCGATATCAAACTCTGAAACTGATAAAACAAAAACAATCTCTTTTCTATAATCTCTCGTCTACTCATCTACTGTTCGTTTCACATTCAGAAACAAGGTTAATTATAAAACCTCATAAGATCTTTATCTAACACGGACCAACACAACTTGTTGACGAGTGGGAGAAACATCCATGAGGGTGAGACTAAAACACATCTGTATCATCTGTGAATGAGTGAGTGAGTGTAAAACTTGTATAATTCTGTTGTTGTGAGATCTGTTGGAGCTGGAATACGGATCAAAGGACAATTTCGGCTCTTTTAAATATGCTGTTCAAAGTTGAATTTTTTACGACGAAAAAGATTATATGGAAGATGATTTGAAAAATTTATAAAAAATACAGTGAAACACCGAGCCCAGAAAAAGTTAGAACTGGGCAAGACAAATTTGGATTTTTGCCGAGCTACATAATAAAGAACAAAATAGTAACTTTGAGCTTCAAATTTTTTTGGGACAAATTTGCGGTTCAGGGTCAAAGAAAGTTCAGGGTAAAACGAAGTTCAGGGTTAGACGAAGTTCAGGGTTAAACGAAGTTTCACTGCAGAAATTCAAGCTCCAACAGAACCTGCAGAGTTAAGAAGTAGCGTATCTTATATAATGTTCCTCTCTAGACACTGTGTTTACGAGGCTCGAGACCGTCAGAGTTATCGCCACCTGAAATATGAGGTGCGATGTGGCGTTGTGATATGAGCGTTAAATTTGTGGCGCGTGAGTCAGGTCCGTGATGCGTGAGTCGAGTTTGTGGCGCGTGAGATAAGTTTGTGGCGCGTGAGTCAGTTCCGTGATGTGGACCTGACTCACAAGTCAAGTTTGTGGCGCGTGAGATAAGTTTGTGGCGCGTGAGTCAGTTCCGTGATGTGGACCTGACTCACGAGTGGAGTTTGTGATGCGTGAGTCGAGTTTGTGATGTTTGGATTCGTCCCTAGATAGTAGATATGTTTTCACTTTTCATCGGTCAAACGACTGGATACTGACAGAAATTAAGGTTTGGTCGAAACTTTTTATCTCCGTATAGAATCAACTCTCTTAACTGATCAGCTGTTTTTAAAAATTATCTCCCGCATTAAACAAGACTAAACTGTATGATTAACGAAACATTTCACCGATCAGCACACATCTCGGTGAAAGACTTGTAGTTTGCAGTTCAAAAGAGGCGTTATTCTTATTGCTGACTGTTTGAGCAGACTTGTTATTATATTCCCAAGAAATTATTGGCACACGTCACACTGTAATAACTTTCACTGCGATGACAATGCCGAACACAAGATCGTGACATAACTTCGTTCAACCCTTACCGGACGATAATACGCAACTCCGCCTTTTAGTTCTCCCATTTTATATCCAATAGTTAGATAATTTCTGACTTTGAATTACACGGTACACATTCAGATGTCCCAAATAAAGATCAAAGTTATGTGCCCCTTCCCCCATTAGTTTCACGTCACCCATAAAGAATTGAAGATTCAAAGTAAAATTAAAAACAAAGTTTAAGACTGCTTTCGTGCAACTTCACACATTTTTTGTAGGTAAAGTAAGTCAAATCTGCAATTGCGATGAATAAAACTTTCTTATCCACAACTGCGATACCTGTATGAAACGGCATAAAATCAGCGCTCAAAAGTGCTCACACCAAAATCCCACACACATATAAAAGACCTAGCAGAGGCTTACTGAGAATCACACATTTGTTTCACCTTAGGATTCCTCGAGAGGTGCATAGTATTCAAATCTAGAGTCTTCTAATCTTAGGACGTAAACGCTGAGGTACAGCAACCCACACATCTAGTTTGAAGCAGGTTTAATCGTAATAGAATAAATAATGTTTTTAGTTGGAAATGGTGTTAAAGTTTACTAAAATTGAGTACAAATCGTCTAATATTATAATATGTCGTCTAAAATGAGCAAAGCAGCAGGTGGTCAAAAATAAATAACCAGCGGAACAGGTTTTCGTCAGTTAAAGTTTGATAGGTCAGTCGTTTTGCCACACAATGCTATATCTATAATCAGTTTGTTTTCAGTCTGCCTTGCTTAAAGTCAGTATGTTTCTCTGTCAGTCTGTCTGTTTGTCTGTCTATATCTTGTGGGCCTCGTATTCGTAATCGTCTCGAATAACATTCATTACGTATGATGTTAGAAGCACAATGCTCATCTGAAGTCAGTTTTACTCATCAAATTAATACCTAACTACAATTTATTGTTCATGTAACTATTGAACGTCGAGATCAGAGAGATCGAGCACAAATGACGGCTTCAGATTTAGCAAAGCGAGCTAATATTCAGAGATAGCGAGAAATTTTTTGCGCTGTAAGTAAATAATGATAACATTGTCTGCGAGTCGATATTTGTGCGGCATGGAGCTTCTGAGGAAAGAGATCCTGGCCTGGCCAGCTAGTCGTATTAACAAGCCCTGTCATAACAAAAGCTAGAGCGAGCAATATATTGCGCGCTGCATTTTAGCTACAGCGCAAGAAGAAAAGACCTTATAATATCCTTTCTGCGCGTGCTGGTAGGTTTATATCTATACTACGTAATAAAGATAATAACATAACCGAAAGTAACACTTATTATCAGCAGATTATGTAATTATATCATTATCGATAATTACCTGCAAGATTACAATAACACCAGCAACGATACCAACGTAAAGCATATTGTTCTCAACAAAGTTCATCATAGACGTCTTGCATCCCTGAAAGGAGAAACAGATTTAAAATAGTTGTCGTCATGGTAACAAGCGGGCAGAAGCAAAACAAAGGTGTCAAACTCTCTCAACATCTATTCTCAAATAACTTAGGGTATATCAGCTACAGTGGGGTGCCATATGTTTTGGTAATTTCTGATAATGACAATATTAACAGTGTTAAAGCCATTAATTTTAGTAATTACACTCACAGCTAACAATATCACGTGACCTGCACTCAGACTCGCGCGCAAAAATGCGGGCACGTCAGGAATGACCAAAAAACATGGCACCCCAATGTCTACCCAAAATTACTAAGCACTTGAAGATTGTATCATGTGTTATCCAGTTTTATATCTAAAGAATCGGTGGCAGCCATAGTACAGTGGGGGTAATGAACAGAGTGGAAAATATGGCCCATTCAGCAGATTTTAGGCTTGCAGCGTTTATCGTCCGTTTATCGTTTTGAAAAACGATCAATGTTTTTGATAACAGTAATCGCTGAAAAAACCGATATTCGTGCAAAAAACGTCTTAACTTTTTCTGGAAAAAATTAAATCCAAGATTTTCCACTGTGTGAGTGAGGTTAATCAACATTAATAACAGATATAACACAGTGGCCGGGTGCTATGTATATAAAATATGTCATCTCCTAAAACCACTTACCCCCGAGTTAATTTCATCGTTTGTTCGGTAGTCTGCCTTACTCCCACAGGTATCATCGTCTCTGTTGGCCTCCTTGCAGCAACTGCGATAGTATTTAGTTAAATTAATTAATAAAGTCGAATTTTATACAGCACTTTATTATTAAAGTTATCAGTCTATTGATATGGTTTATACTTTATATGCAATGCAGCAAACGGGCACAACGGTCGGTTAAATTTTCAGGATTGTTAAGTACGGACACTAAACCAAACAGTTGAATCCAACTGAAGAAATCTACAAATAATCATACAAGTGATAGGGTAGCGCGGGGTAATTTGGACCATTTTTTAAGTTTTTTTCCCTGCGCCCCCTTGTTGAGAAGGAGTTTGTCGAATGGAGTCTTGACTACAAAATGGTATATACAAAAAAACATTGACTCCATTAATTGTGGGCGTGGCAGGCCCTTGAAAAGGTCAGACCCCCCGGTCTGAATTACCCCTCCCCATGGGGTAATTTGGACCACTTCTATTTTCACTCCATGAAGTGGGATTAGTCATTTTCACAACTTTAACTGGTTCAGGACCTCTCATGAATAGTTTTGAGTACATGTAATTGACATAACCAATTAAGCAATTAATTGTGGCCGCGCCCATGTCAAAAGTGGTCGGAATTACCCCGGAAAATCAAAAATTGTCTAATTGACTGAATTTTCTGCAAAACTTGTTTTAATGACCTTTCTGAACATATCTGTATACCTATGGACACTTACCATCTCATGGTCAAGTAACAAATTGAATTTTACTAAAGTGGTCCAAATTACCCCGGTCGCGCGTATAAATCTGAACATTGGATGGCTGATCTTTTACTCCGGCAGCTACCATCTTTTCTTCCAACATATCAAAAAATCTATCTACTGTATCTTGGGAGAGTCCCTTTGCCCGGGCTGAGGTGACAGTTTCAGGTTTTCTTAGGGAGACTTCTGTCTTGTAACGTTTTCGAAATGATAGATACCATTCATCTCCGGGCCTGTCCAATGTGAAAGGGGTCTTGAGTTTTCTAATCTTTACATACTCCTGAACCATGTCAAGCACCTGGTCCTTCCCAATGGGCCACCCAAGATCTGAGCAGTACTGTATAGCCAAGACAATATACTTTTCATCCTCCGTAGATAGGGCTGTTGGTCGACCTACTCTTACTTCAGTCGCAGGGACAAAAGGATTTTGCGGCATGTACGAAATCGCGAAATTTCCCATTCTCCACGACAAATTTTATGTATAGTTTAATGTATAGCCTGTTAAATTTCGCGATATCGCGAAATTTGGCCAAAATAATCGCGAAATCCTTTTGTCCCTGTTCAGTCGTGATAGGAGTGTTGTCTTTGGCACAGCAAAATGCTTACTAGCAAAGTTAATGGACATTCTACCAGCCTTAACTTCATCTTGGGCTTTCTTTAAGGAATCCTCCTTGACAGGTAATCTCTTTTTAACATAGTTCCTAGGCATGATTTTACCAAAACAACGTCCTCAAAGACTCTAAACAGCTTAATATAACCTAAAATGCGATTGTTGTAATATTTGAATAATAGGTAGAAAGATTAGGTCCAAGATAAGGTCGCTAAAAACAACAATTTCAAGAAAAAATTGATTGACTGCTAGAAATTTTCGATGGACAGATCAATTCTGGACCATAACAAACACAGTACTAGGAAAACAGCAAAGTACTAGGAAGGGAAATAGACTGAGTGTAAATAGATAATTGTTGGGCTAAACTGTATAAAGATGATCTAATTGGATTAAAAACTCCAGTCTTGGTATGGAAAAATGTAGAACAGGATTACTGAATGACTCAATTTACTCCTGGGAGAAAACAATATAGCTCAGAACTGTTATTTTAGGAAAAATTTGAGGTGGTCCAAATTACCCCATTGCTGGTCGGATTTACCCCTGCGCTGGTCGGAATTCCCCCGCGGTCGGAATTACCCCGCGCTACCCTATTAATTAGAAAAATAAGAAGATCATAGTGGGGAAGAGATCACGAAGTGTAACGTGTGAAAATACCACTGTAGTGTAACTAATTGTAGTGTAACTAATTGTAGTGTAATTGTAGTGTAATTGTAGTGTAAATGTAGTGTAACTAATTGTAGTGTAACTGTAGTGTAACTAATTGTAGTGTAACTGTAGTGTAACTAATTGTAGTATAACTGTAGTGTAAATGTAGTGTAACTAATTGTAGTGTAACTGTAGTGTAACTAATTGTAGTGTAACTGTAGTGTAACTAATTGTAGTGTAACTGTAGTGTAACTGTAGTGTAACTGTAGTGTAACTAATTGTAGTGTAACTAATTGTAGTGTAACTAATTGTAGTGTAACTAATTGTAGTGTAACTAATTGTAGTGTAACTAATTGTAGTGTAACTGTAGTGTAACTAATTGTAGTGTAACTAATTGTAGTGTAACTAATTGTAGTGTAACTAATTGTAGTGTAACTAATTGTAGTGTAACTGTCATGTAGTGTAACTGTAGTGTAACTAATTGTAGTGTAACTGTAGTGTAACTAAGTTAGTACCTGTTGGGAACGATATCTCCGTTAGTTTGATCCTTAAAGTCAGCATTCAAACTAGACCAATCATTAGGACCATCAACACCACAGCAGTCGAACTGAGGAAGAGAAAATTAATTAGTACCGATTTTCTGATTTATTTTTAATTAGTTAGGCGTGATATTTAGTTCTGCTTTTTGAGAAAGATTTTAATATAATTTATCAACAATATTATTGTTGGGCTGGGGTAGTTATTAATTTTATTTTTTTCGTTTTTTTTGCCTTAAAAAATATTTTTTCATTTTGTTGTTTCAATGAACCACCATATAATATTTCTAGTCTAGTGCTTAAATCTAAAATTAATTTACATTTTCCTGGATCAGGTCGATTGTCTCCTTAATAATGTCAGCTTCGTCCTTATCCTCGTCACCATAGTAACCAATCAGCTCCTGAGTCCTGGTTGTAGCGTACTGAAATGTGTACATTGAACATCGTGGTAATAAAATTAAACTGAAATGCTGAATAGCTGAATCATTAGATTAAATAAATTTAAGGGGGTAATACATGCCAAAATATCCACAATCCACATGTATGCATTATGTTTTTCGAACATATAAATATAATACGAAAATGTTGTAAACACAACCAAGAGTAATGAACAACGAGTTTCGGCTTTTCACCTAATTTAATTTGGACAAACAGACAGAAAAAATCATTGACTCAGGCAATAACTAGGTTAAATTAATAAATCTTAATAATATAATTTATTATTATATAATAAATATAATTTAAAGCTAGACGATATATATCTGTTGACATTTTACTGACACCACAACAACCACTTTAACACGTTACACTACTTTATGATTAGAAGGGTTCCTGCTAGTGATACGTACTAAATATGATAACAAGTGCAAATATTGCAGTTAACACAACCACTGCTAAATACCATGATTGGAATCGTTTTTAAGAGGGAGTTCTAAAATTAACAATGTTTCTTATTATGAAGTATATTTACTTTAATTATACTTAATTTATTAATCTATATTAAGTGTTTCTCACCGACTCGACGCTGGATTTCATAGCAACACATCCTACAGCAACCACGATCTCCATCAGCATAATCACGATAAGGAATCCCATGTACTGTAAATGTTATTGGAATGTTATTGTCAGCATGGAATATTTCAAGGAATGTAAGGATTAGGTATTTATCAATAAACAGAATTTGTCCGACCGAACTACTTACCTTATTCTTGGACTTTCATGAAAAAATACATTCGTTGATTCTTACATTTCTTAGTGACAAACTTTTAAAAGAATATCCTTGTGTTTAAAGACTTACAGCCTTGAGCAGGAACATTGCTTCACAGCACGCTCCAATGAAACCACAGAGTCCCACAAGAAGCAACAGAGATCCAATTACGATAGATATGATCGGGACGTTGAATATGCTGAAATAGTTCTTGATTTATTTGAAGAACTCGAAATTCAAAGATAAGATAAAGTATTGGTATTTTATCAAGAATAGCTTATAGCAGGTCACCAAACGTTTAATGATATATATGTAATATTATATCAACCAAGTCATATTCTAACTATTTGTAAATTTTACATATCTAAGCAACTTGGCAGTTCGTTTGGTTAGTTTCGTTTAGTTTCTGGAAGTTGAAGAAAATTAAGCTCTTTTTGACACAATTACAAAATATTTGATCAATTCTTTTATCTGTATTTAACACGAGGTAATACACAAAGGGGTATAAAGTGAACATTGAATTTGCAAATTGTTACATTTAGTAGAATTTAATCACACTCAAAGGAAATGCTCACTATTCAAATGTTCAAATTATATATAATTAATTTCCTTAATCCAGACTAAATCTTAACTCATTTTAGTCATAATTCCGTGTTATGTCGTTACTACTACAGCTGCCTTTAATCTTTATATAATGTAACGAGTGTACATGTGGAGTTTACATTGTAGACTGTAGTAACCACTGCACTGCCCGTGTAGTGTAATTGTATTGTAATTAAGATGTTGAGTGTACTGATTTCAGACATTGTGTACCTCTCTCTATAACTTGATATATTGTGTAGTGTAATTGTATTGTGTTGTACATTTTGTGTGGTAATTAAGATGTTGAGTGTGCTGGTTTCAGACATTGTGTACGTTATCTCTATTATAACATGCTGGTCTGACACACTA